ATATACATACATATACTTACATATAAATATATATATACACACATATATATACATATGTATACATACTGTATATATGTATATATATACACATACATATATCCTGTATGTATATATATATATATATATTTATATATATATAAATACTTTTATGTTGTTTTATGACACAGTAACAAACAAAAGAATGGCTTACATACAATTTTCAAACATCAAACACATTATAGTAATCCAGAAAATACAGCGATATATTTTCTGATAATTCTAGGTTGCAGTCTTATCAAAGTGCAATGTGAGATAGGATAAACAAACACGTGTTCTGTAAGGACCCTATTCATTCCCGGCATTGAAGTCCAAGCAGAGAAATCCTAACAAAGGCCCCCATGCATCCTGACAACTGATGACACAGAAGACATTAGAAGGTCAAACTTCTCCAACTCAGCTTTTGTGTGACACATTAACACTCAGTGCTTGACCACATAGGGCCGTTTTTTTTTTTTTTATGTTAAACAAAAACATCTACATAGTGACCTCTGTTAACAAGCTATAATTGTTCATTCAAACGGAATGAAAGCAGCTCGTACCTAATTGATGTAAATGGTTTGAAAACATATATATAAATATATATATATGACAGATTTAAATATATAGAAAATAGCTACATGAAAAAACTATATTAAAAGAAAAAAAAAAGACAAATATTGGCAACATTCTAGTCAATATAAAAAAATTCCCCTGCAAATGATCCAGAGATATCTGAAGGTTTAAAAGATATTCAAAAGGGACAAAATAGTTTTAAGTCCCTTAAAACAGTTGTCTCCCGAAAGCCTTTGTGCCACGGAGCGGTTCCATTACTGTAGACAGCTAGCACTGCGCTGGCTGTTGAATGATCATTAAAATTCCAAAATAAAACACCTTTTAGACTTTGTTAGTATCAGAGTCTGAATGACATCTTATTTTGAAATACTGTCAGATTATCGAAAAATGAAGGGATTGAAGTGGACAACCGAACAAACAGGCCGACAAACATTAATACTGATGACGCGACTTATCATTTAAAACGTTATTTGAATCACTGCATAAAGCTGCTTAGTTAAAGCAGGGCATATTTCCCTTTCTTTTCTGCATTTACAAACATTCGCACACCTAGTGCATTCATCAACAAGCCCTCACTATTTTGTGCAATCCACAAATTTCCCTTCCTGGTTTTCGTTCCGTAAATTACAAAGAAAACCGGTGCAAAAGATGAAAGTGGCAACGCCCGCGGCACATACTGTATGTAGAAATCAAATGTACAAATCTAATATTCCCAAAGTCATTTGCCTACGTATTCATAAAGGCCTACGTCAAACTCGAGGCCCGTGGCCCGAATGTGGCCCACCATATCATTTCATGCGGCCCAGCGGGTGCTCATCATGTGCTTGTCTAAAAATAAATAAAACAAGTCTATACTTCCGGAAGGATAAAATGCAGTGGTCAAATTCTACAATATATTGCATTCTTACATAATGTTGTGTTTTGTTTACCAAAAATACAAATTTCCCTTTATGTACGTTGACTTTGTGACCCACATCGTATAGCAACGCAACAGACTCTTCAATAAATGCTAACTGTTAGGCCCACAATTTGGACTGCAATTCAAATTTTGGCTCCATGGTTGAGGGGCAGTGGTCGTTTTGGTGGAAGCGGACTCGGGTCCGGAAGGTTTCAGGTTCGAGTCCACCAGCTCCCAAGTAACCACTGAGGTGCTCTGAGCATGGCGCTTATAAGCTGCCCACCGTTCACTTCAGTGACGGGTAAAAAGCATTGGTCACACTTGGTTCACTTTCCTTTGACACTCCTGCTAGAGTCTTTAGATCTCCTTGGAGCAGGACAGCCATTTGTACTTTCACACCAAGACATGAACCATGGTGAAAAACGTTAGCCAAAGTATTACTTGTTATCTAAGGTATATGTACAGAAAGGTGAGATAAAAGAGTCGGACAGACTTAATGCTGGTTGCGTGTGATCACTCCATGTCAGAAAGTGAAATCAAGTCCAAAAGGGAAGGACAGAACACAGATAATGTTACTCAATGTAAACCACGACAGGACTTCACCCTGATTACTCCACATTCACATGAAGGCTTATTTTCCGTTGTGTGTTTTTTTTTTTTTAAATCAGCACTGGGGAAGTGAACTTCCACACTGCTCACTCATCACATTTGCAGGTTGAGGTTTCAGCGGCACCACCTCCTGACTTTGCGCCACAGGTTCGGCGCCTCTGTTCACGCACAGTTCCCAGAATGAACCACTGAAATCGTGACTTTCACATCTCAACAAGGCCACCGTCCACTTCCTGAAGTTTGCGCTCGTGCCAAAGTAAAGTAGAGGCCTGAGACACGCGTGGACACAGCCCAGAGCGGCTGTGTACATTAGAGCTGATCTCAGAGAACTTTCACCTGCGGTTTTCCCAGAAGGACTGTCTGAAGGCGTTTCATGCATCCTCTGTATTGTGTCAGTGATGATTGTAATGCTGTACGGAACCCAGCACAGCAAGAGGACAACCACCGGGGGCAGGATGACCCCGACGACTCTTTGCTTTTGTTCGCCTTTAGATTTAGACTGCACCTGCAGCAGCAGGCAGCAGAAGATCACGAGTACGATGGCAGGCACCAGGAAGCCCAACAGGATGGGAAGTAGGCGGGCAAGTATTTTCAATCCAACTCCAGTCTGGGAGAAGTCGTGAACACAATGTGATTTCCCTCCTGCGGTTCTTCCCTCGACTGTTAAATAATTCCAGTCAGGAATTGTGAGGAGAACGCAGCAGATCGAGACAATCAGGCAGATGTGATGAGCCGCCACAGGTTTTTTGAAGAATCCCAATGTGACAGCGGAGTTAGGGAACGCAGTACGCCGCTGATTAAAACTGATGCACACCAGTGTTAAGACTCCACAGTAGAAGTTCATCTAGGATGGGAAAAAAAAAGACATGGGAAAAACTTCAATCAGTCAACAAAACTTATTTTTGTTGAAAAAAAAAAAAAAGACATGGGAAAAACTTCGATCAGTCAACAAAACTTATTTTTGTTGAACACAACTAAAGCAAAGTGAACTCCTTTCATTTGAATATTTTACGTAAAGTTCTTCGAATTATTCTGTTGTTTAAAAGGGACTGGACACATGTGTCAGACTATCAGATTCACTTTAACAAGCCTTGGCCTCTTTTCCCTCTCTCCCCGTTCCCCTGAGATTTGCAAGAGCCTGGAGGAATGCAAACAGAATGCACTGACGCAACAACAGATCTGGAGCCAGTGAATATGGCTGCCAAAAGTCTTGAACAAACTGATCTTCAGTCAGGAAATGCACTGAAAACATATTCATTTCACTTTCTCTTCATATCACTAACAAACTGTTACTTACATTAAAGACCACACCACTGATCTTACAGAGAATCCCACCAAAATACCATCCAGAGGGGTGTGCCGCCTGTGCAGCCCAGAATGGCAACGTGAGCAGCAGTAAGATGTCGGCCACACCCAGTTGAAGAATAAAAGTGTCTGATGAGCTCCAGTGCTTTCTCTTCAGAACCAGGACAGCCAGGAGCAGACAATGTCCCAGCAGACCCACAGACATTACCACGGCGAAAAGAATCGGGAGCAACACCGCCTCACTTCTCCCCGATTCACTGTCGTCCTTGTATTCATAGTCCTCATCGTAATCGTAGGTGGAATTTTGGCCGAGAAATCCCCCGAGCTCCACGTCCATGTTCCTCCGCTGTTGAAATAAAATCAAATTATTTATTAGCAAAAAAAATTGACGGAACAAGAAAATCAGTACTCTGTCTTTGGGAGCAGGAGTTTCAGTGTCTGTAAAAAAACAGGAGACCTGAGATGATTTATAAACACATGCTGTTGTCACATGGTGCTGATGTCACTGAATGATGAAGTAAACCGCAAAAGTCCACTCTGGCATGACGAGAACGAGAAAGCAATTTGAGTTGTGCAGGCGTTCTTAACAGGTTTATTTTTTCAGGTTTTCACCTACGGGGGAATTTGTTTAGTAGTAAAATGATTAAATCATTAAATAGAGCAGTAAAAGAGTAATGACGTAAATAAATAGAGCTGTGGAACAGTGAACAGCATCGGCGTGTATAAGATAAAAATAAAAAGCTGGAGCTAATATGTTGTGAAATGTACATGGAGGTAAACAATTGCTGATAAAAAGCTGGAGCTAATATGTTGTGATATATGTAACTATAATGATGAGTGAGTCACCACAAAGTTGTTAAGGAACTAATCCAGTACTTTCAACAGTTTCATTCATCTTAACATGCCCAGCATAAACCGAGCTGGCAATTCTTTTTTTTTTTTTTCAGACAGTGCATAGATGTCAGGTGATAAAACAGAGATTTAATTATATATATATGTATATATAAATTCATAAATATATACAGTATATACATACATAATGCATATATGCATAAATATATACAGTATATACATACATATATTTTAGTTTCACAGTTTTGCACCAGAGATCAAACAAAGAGTGTTGTGTGCGCAAATAAAGATTTCTATATCACCAATACAAAAAACAAGATGGAATATAACACATTGTTATGGAATGCTTTTCCCAAAGATTCCTGTTCTAGCATGTCTTCAGTGAACAGTCCCACAACAAAAAGATAAAAGATTTTGCAGGAATAGGAGTTGCTGTGTTTTCTTGTGAATAGTAAGTGGCATATTTATTTTTCATTAGCCTTTTGTCTTCAGTAAATTTAATTCAATTTTATTATTATGATTTATTTTTGTTTTAGGTTTCTTTTGGAACTGTTCACATATGGTTTAGTCAAAGTAAAAAAAGTGCAATAATATGTTTTAGCTAACATAATGAATAATCGTGATTAATAGTCATTAGCCCTAGTATCCAGTGATATTCTTTACATCCCACAGTGACTGTTTTCTAAGGTCAAACAGGAGACTAAATACAAATGTAATTTAGGCCCATTTGATGTTCAATTATGCAGCGCTAAATTAAAACGTAATTTAAGTCAATGTGTCTAAGTTACCGAGAAGGGCGCACACCTTTCCAGAAACAATAAATAATAATAATTAAACCGGACCGCACGTAGTCTACCCTTAAGGGTCAATTGTGTAGCTCAAAAATACTCGTATATTCGTAGACAACATAGGAGAAAAAATGTACTTGTGGTGTATCGACGCTAGCGTCGGCGTAAACAGCGTGTTATGATTACAACAGGAAGAGGTAGTTTGTATGAAGGTGTGTGTTTTGTAAAGAAATGTTTCATATTACACCACAGTAGACAGCCGTATTACCAAGGACTGTCCAGAGAATGCTGTTCTTATTCGGAGCACGTCCTTCTGGAAGAATAAGAAGAAAGGGTTCTCCAGTTTTTGCCCATATACTCCGCGAGTATCCATGTTAAGGTGGTTAAGAACACTGCACTCGACGACAACGTGCCAGAATTGACTTGGTGTAGCTCAGTTCAGTCATTAAACCGGTTAAAACCGTGGCAACAGCCCATTTTAAATAATACGTAACCACGAAAAGCTAGCTAATAATACAATTACTATAAGCAGGCTGACTACGCAGAGAAGTAATCGTTGGCGTACGAATAAAAGCATGTCCAGTTTCTTCACCGAGAATGCATGTTTATGTAGGCGATGTTTGAGTATGCAGTTTCACTATGAAATGAAATATTAACAAATGCGACGAATGAGGAAAACGTCAAAAGAACATGACACAAATATTGAGTATAAATGATAGTCAAACCTTGTGGTGGGTGAAGTTGTACCAGGAGTCAGTGGGAGAGGAGAAAGGACAGGTTTTACTGACGGCTGGCGACTAAAATCTCCCGCGCCTGTAGTCCAGACAGGAAAAACTCTCACAAAGCGTCGCTGCTGCTTACGTCTAATCATACATTTAAATCGAAGACTTTCAGAAGCTCGACCACCTGAGCAGCTTCTCATACACGCTGACCTCTGTTTACTCCTAAATTTAACCCTCGCGAGTGCACCGCAGCTAGATACTCATTCCAAAAGTCGCCACACACCCTATAGTCACACGCAAGAACTATAGTCTAAATTACGTTTGCTTTCAAAATAAAAGTCTGAAAAATAAACCCATCAGCGCATCACCAACTTCAAAGTTCGAGTGGTCCAGTTAAAAAGGGGCTTTATTTGATCCTTTTAACATTTATTTTACAGTGTAAACGTTTACGAACCCGTTCTTGTTTCAAAACACGACATGGAGTTAAATTAAAACGATTGGCTTAAATGAAATCCTTTATACAACCGTGGAAGTACACACTTTATTTTGAAGTAACTCTCAAGACTTCCGTCTAAGTTTGCCTGACGTGAGGCGACACTAAAAAGAAGTGAAACAGAAAACGATTCACAAAGAACCGTCAGTGTCAGTAAAACCTTACACAAAATTATAACTAATCCTAAATGTTATATTTCAAGAATACATATTGTTACATCAGTTTGTTATCTTTTTTTAAATTTTTTCTTTTTTTCTTTTATCTTTCTGCGATGGACTGGGGGACTGTCCAGGGTATACCCCGTTACTGTTTTATTTATCTTTATGCGATGGACGGGCGGACTGTCCAGGGTATACCCCGTTACTGCCGTTGATAGCTGGAATTTCTTTGAAACCACTTAGTTTAGCATTAACCAGAAGCGTGAAGCATGTTTTTTTATTAGTAAAAAAAGGGGGGGTTCACTTTCAGTTGCACTTTAACACCTTTTATTGTAACTCCTATAAGCTACAGTTGATAGTTTTGAACGATGTATTGATTATTGACGATGTAAGTTACACAAAGTTTGCATGCAGGACACTGTTGCTGCTGATTAGTTTATCAAATAAAATGCAAACAAAATGTAACATCCCTTGTTAGCCCTACGAGGTGACAAGGATACCTGGAAATATTTGTCAAGTCATTTTCCTTGCTACTTAATAATAAAAGCACTTAAAAGATAAATGTTTACGTTTGACAAAACTCTTCAATTGGAATACATTGCTGCACTTGTAGAGGAGTTGTATCCTATTCAGAACTTAATGACTTCCTGTTGAGTGACTGACAGATTTACTACTGAAATGACACTACACAGGGGAGACTTGCCTCTAAAACAGCGAATGCAAAGACTAAAATGATCACACTTGCCTTGTTCTACACGTCAGGATCCGTGTTTTAACTGTCAACAACATGGCTCGAGAAAATGAAAGAGAACAGTACTGTATTACACGTTATTGTCAAAATCACATTTAATATACGGCTAAATGCATGGGCAACCTATGGCCTGGGGGCCGGATGTGGCCCGCTTGGCTTTTTAATCTGGCCCGCCAAATGTATTCAAATTATGTTATTAATTTATATTATCATTATATATTATCACTATAATTCTATAATATAAGTCTATAATTCTGCAATGCCCACATTTCCCCTGTAGATGGTGTAGAAAATGCTAAAAGCTTTTTAGCATTTTTAGCCTCTATGCATGACTTTTACATGTCATTTATCTTAGTTCACACCAACACTCCATCCTTCTGCTCCTGACCTGGCCCCCCCCGACCCCGTTCAATTTTAGGACCCATTTTAGCATGCGAGTCAAAAAAAGTTGGTCTAATCTGTGATGTCTGTGATGACATAATAAAAGCCTGCAGAAACAAAAATATTAATGCATACAAGTGGGTGTAAGATATTCACATAATAAAAGCCCGCAAAAACAAAAATATTAATGCATACAAGTGGGACATCTGAGTGTTTCGGTACTGAAGGTTTATTTTAAAAAATACTCACAAAGATGATGTGGATTTAAACAAAACAGATATAAAAAAATATTTACCGTCCTTTGCACCACAGCATAATAACAAGTCTTACAGAACAGCTCTTAGGTTGGAGTAAATGGAACATTTAAAAACAGACATTTAACGATGTGGATCTTTTGACTAACGCATCAGTTTTGATCATTGGAGACGCACCCCAGACGCATCTTTTTCTACACACACACACACACACACACACACACACACGAAGGAAGTGGTCACATGACCCCGCCTCATATAGCATCCTCTACAGAAGGACATGTAAGTGGGTGGGAAAAGCTGAAACACATCAACAACCAGACAGAAACGAAAACAAAACGGTATTTCTTTTTACAGGTTCCAGTTAAGTGGATTGTATATTTTGTCCTCTGGTACTTTTCAGGTTTGGGTTATACTGAGGATGTAGTCTAAGCAATAAGACTAAGTCAGGCATGGACAAACTAAGGCCCGGGGTCTGGATGCGGCCCGTTTACCTTTTTAATCCGGGCCCCGCCAAACTTTTCCAAATTATATAATTGATTTATATTATCATTATACTTCTGCCTTTTCCCTGCAATACCCAGGTTTCCCCAATAGATGGCGTAAAAATGATACAAGCATTTCAGCACTTTAGCCTTTATGCATGACTTTTACATGTCATTCATCTTAGTTCACACCAACGCTCCATCTATCTGCTCCGGACCCGCCCCCCCCCTTTTCAATTTTATTACAATTGTGTCCCGCAAGTCAAAAAGTTTGTCCACGCCTGTCTCTAAGTGCCTCGTCTATTCTCCCTTTTTTTCCCCCCTGACACCTTAAGCCCTTTGGTCTTTCTGTCTCTTTATACTGAGTCAAACCATAACAGAAAAAGAGGTGTTTTCGCTCTCACCAGAACTGAAAGAGCCCACTGATCTCCTTAGCCTCCTCTGCCTCCACCCTTCCATCCCCAACCACCCGTCCTGTCCCAGCAGCCCCTTGCACATTCTGACCAGTTCTCTCCTAAACTTCACGCCCACAAATCCATACAGCAAAGGGTTCAGGGCGCAGTGAGTCAGCCCCAAACTCTCGGTGATCAGGGTCCCGATGTCCACCACGCGGCCAAACTCGCATCCACCGGTCAGAATCCCCAGTGCTTGGAGACTGTCCACCAACAGGAAGCAGTTGTACGGTGCCCAGCAGATGACAAACACGGACACCAACGAGACGATGAGGTGGAGAGACTTCCGCTTTTGCCTACGGGTGGCGTTGCACAGGGACCTGAAGATGCGGATGTAGCAGTAGAGCATGATGAACAGAGGCACACCGAAACCGAGAACCACACCGATGAGCTGGAGCCCCACTTGCCACTGGGTGGGGTTTTCAGTGAACCACACCTGACACAGCAGTGTTTTTTGCTTGTTCACGGTGGTCACTTCGACCACCTGTTTGAAAGCAATGTCCACTCCGCTCAAGCCGAGGCAGAAAACCCAGATGATGGCACAGGCTAATTGTGCATGGCATGTGTTGCGCTTCCAGCTGGAGCTGACGGCGTGAACGATGGCCAGGTAGCGGTCGAAGCTAATGCAGGCCAGAAAGAGGATTCCA